AAAAACGATTTTATTTTTTCTTTAGAGGTGCAGAAGACACTGACTATAGTATGTTAAATAATTGTGGGGAAAAGATAATGAATAGCAAAGGATTCCTTAGCAAAAAGCATACAGAGAGTAAGCTGTTGTGTTACGGCTGATATAAACAGGAAGCAAAGCACCTCAGACAGTGTCTAACAACACATACATTGTTGTTAGTGTTTGGGGGTTGGACAACCAGCTGATGGTTTCTTTGTCTCCTGGGTGTTTTCAGATGGAGGCTGGATTTGCTCTTATAAATAAATACTAATCTTTGGTCTTAGTGCAGGAATAACTGAATGAAGTTTAATGCCCCATGACAAGTTTGGTTTAAGAAGTTTGAAGGAATGGTGTAGCAAAGACTTTTTCCAAGGAAAGGAAAGAAATTATTTCTTCTCCGGGGTTCACAGTAAAAAGCACAAGAATTGATGGGCTTCAATGCAGCAAGTTGAACAGAAAGAAGAATGTTCCACTTGTCAGCACAGTGAAATACTGGGGGAAAAATGCCTGTGGAAGTTTCAGTAATAATTTAGATGTGGTTAACATTTTCCTTGAGAAAGTGGGATGAACTGGATGACCTCTAAAGTTTCTCCCAGCCTTTTTTCTGAGAGCATGTAGTGGGTGATGCAGCTGTCAATTTTATCTTCAACTTCCTGAATCTTATTCTGGTTATCTTTTACCCTTGCTCAGCCAAAGTCTCTGGATTTCACGTAATACATCTGTATAATGCCCTTACACCCAGATAAATTACATTCTACATATGATTTCAAGAAAAAAAAGTTACAACCCACCATCTTATTTTTAGGTCCTCCGGGGAAAAGAGGTAAGCGGGGCAGAAGAGGAGAGACTGGTAAGTTTTCAGTTTCGTAAGATCCATTGTTATTTGATGTCTGTATTTTTAAGAGGATGCATACTCAGCATGCCTGCATTTTTAGTTTTATTGCTTGTGTGCTCTGAAAGAGTTCTGAAACTTCTCTGGTAAAAATCCATGACCCTTGGCATATACCTGGTAGCCTTCCAGATAGTTTTCTAGTCTTGGAAGCCATTAATTTGTAGGCATACTTCATAACGCTTGACATGGTACCATTGGTAACACATTGGTAACTGTCAAACCATTTTGGTGTCTTCTCATACGTGTGCAAGTTAGAATAACTCCATATAAGTCAGTGTTGCATCAAGCTCCTTGGTTTGAGGTGAACAATTTTATAAAGAAATAACGAAGGAAATAAAATTCCTCATGTTAAGAATGTTTGTACTCATGGAAATAATGTGATGAGTAGTCTACTCTGTACGAGAGAAATGGTTGTTTACTAGAAATGAGTAGCAATTAAGTTCTTACGGAAATTAGAAAAACATTTGTTGGTTCGTTACCCTGTACCAGGGAGGTTGCTGTTGAGAGTCCTGCTGTTGGTGTGGAGCTTGAAATTTCATTTGAGACAATGTTGTGAGATGCTGAGCACCTCTTCCTGCTGACATCCATGGGAATTGGAACTGTTGATTACCTTGCAGGACTGAGTTTTTCATAAAGGTGAACTTTCTGGAGGCGATGAAGGAGAAACTGAACATTTCTATTCTCCTGGACTGTCTTGTCTAATCTGCCAGTTAGGAAAATCTTCCAATCAACTTGACCTCTGTAAATCTTCTGTAGCCTTTCTTATCTCTGTAAATCATCATTTATCTGGCTCTTAAAAACTATTTCCATATTTTCCTGCATTACAAAACTGAAGCCAAGCCCTGCCAAAGGTTAATACAAATCACCTTGGTTTCTCCATTCAGTGTTGGCTTAGTATTTACTTCAGAGAAAAATGCTATGGTATATAGAAGGAAATTATATGCTTGAAGATTGTCTTACAAATGATCCTGGCAATTACTTTGCAGGATGCTTGTTGATTCATTTTATGTCTCAAATAAACACATATTAAACTATTAATAAAGGAAATTGATCTCTCTCATTTAAAAACAGACCTGCACCTTAAAATGCTGGTTAAGAATGTTTACCCAGATAAAAATATTACCTCACTTACTGAACAATAAAATTGCATTGTTAAAACCAAAAGGCTGTCAATATTAAAAGCCATCTTGAAGTACAGCTGCTGCTGTTTTATACTCCTTTTGCACTTCACTTTATTCAGAAATTAGAGAGAGGCATAAAAGCTTAATGAAATGCCATTGATTTGGGAGCTGCAGCTGCTCAACTTAATAAGACTGAAATAGTAGATTTGATTTGTGGCCCTTTGATAATGTTTCCAAGAACCGCTATACAAAAGTCTTTGAATCTAAATAATTGAAAAAATGTGCAAATATCACTTCATGAAGTGTGACATTTTAATGGGGAGCATTTTATATGTGTGCCTTGAGAAAGGAAGGTGATGAAAAGAAAGTTCAGCACTGTCAGGTGGCCACTGAAACCTCCCCTCATAGGCAAAGCTGGAAGGCTGGAAGATGCTGGTACATGTATGTCTTGACGATATGCCAAGGTTAAATGCCAAGGGTACTTTGTGCAGTTTTGCAGCCAAGCTGTGACCACATGCCAACTGCGTGGCTAATTGAAACTGGTGATGTGGTTACGTATGCTTTATGTGGAGTCTGACAAAATTAATTGTAATACGTGCTGGTATTTTTGGACTGGCATGAAATTGCATGGAAATGGATGGCAAATCAACTTGTGTGAGATTGCATGACTGTAATTGAAGAATTTGTAAGGTAAGCGCATGCATTTAGGTATTAGTCATATTTACAAGTTGCAAAGCACAACCAAAGCTAAAAAGCACTTGAATGGGAAAATGTGTTTGGTGTATTAGCAGCATTGATCACTTACAATCCTGAGGCCTTGTGCTTGGCTTCATACATATGTGTCTTTCTTTAATAACTTCGTAAGCTTACATATTCTTTTTTTCTCTTTTTTTTTTTACCCTCTTTCCCTCTCCCCCAACCCACAGGACCTCCTGTAAGTACAGTGATACATTGCTTGTTCTTCCAGAATCAGGGAGAAATCTGTTAGATCCTGTTAAGTTATCACCGTGATAAAATGTTCATGTACCATCAAGAGGGAATTTTGATATTTATAGTTACACAGTGTAAACACTCACTAATTATCTTGGAGGTGAATAATTTAATCAGAAAGTTCCTTAAGAAAAGTCTCTGAAACAATAAAGCTTTATATTCAGCGCTCCAGATAGCAGTCTGGATCACAATTCCCCGTAAGTATGTTATGTTCATTTTGCTTATGACTTGATAACAGATATTTTACTGCAATATAAAACTGTGTGAGTATGCTATTAGAAGTCCAGACTTGGTCACTCTGCCTTCTGCTGGGTAGTAACTTCCTCTGCAGTTATCACAGAGTCTTGGGGTACAGGCTCCTTGTTCTTCGGATGTGTTTAGGCTGTCCAGGTCATTGTAGTTTAATTGCTACCAAAGCCAGTAAGTGCCTGTGTAAAATTAATATTAAATAACACTATTCAGTCTAGTAAATTGGTTGAATCTTGGGCTAGCCCTGTTTGTAAGAACACAGTTTCTCTCTTCTGGGGTTTTATGGTTATTTTGGTTTTTGGTTGGGTTTTTTGGTTGGTTGTTTTTTGTTTGCTTTGTCCTATAGTGCCAGGCTAGGTCAAAAGTCTGACTTGAAGAACAAGACTAAACACATATATCTCAAACATTTGTGTTTGTCATGCCATCCATGTGCATCATATGCTGTAAAAGTCACCATTAAGACAGTATTTCCTTTACAGTGTTTGCAGACATAACTATTTTTTTTTCTTTGATAGGTAATAGTATTTCCACAATATTTTCAGGACCACATTATCTGTCTATTCTATGCTACATGCATGTTTGAGAATAGTGAATTAATATGTTAAATTTCTGCTGTGACCTTACTGTAAACTGTAGATACTGAGCAGTGACAGTACTTAAACTTAAAAGATTTTGACTGTGTCCTCAGCAGTTCATAGTGGCAAATTTCTTTAAAAAGCTATCAAAAAGCCAAGCTTAATTCATAATAGCCCCGTCTATTTGAAAGAAACACTGGCTTCCCCAATTTCTTTTGCAGTTCTCTCCTGAAACACAAAGAGCAACCATAAACCATGATACAAGTGATTTTCCTGTAGCAATGCAACGTGGCAAGAGTTCACTATGTGCCTCATTATGAATGTCATCGACTTCAGCTCCCCATTTTTGTATAGGTCCATTTAAAAAAAAAAAAAAAAAGTCTCAGTTGTTGCAGTATTAACACAAACTTGAAATAGTTCCCAAACCTGAATAATTTTAAGAGGTATCTGACTTAAAATTCCAAGTTTCATACTTGAAATTTAAAAGACTTCATTTTGCTGACAGTCAGTAAGGGTTTAAGTTGCTACTAAGCATTTAAAAACATAATTTCTGTTCCTAATTCATTTATTTTCATAGACATAGTCTGACTAGGGGCAACTATTGTGAAATTAGTTATTGTTTTCACCTTGGAGACTGTGGTAATTGTTTTAATTTAAAATAGCAAATATCTGTATATTCCACATAGCACTGCATGGAATTAGTTGTATGGTATATTTTCAAAGGCTACTGCAGTGCTCTGTTTATTTTCCTTCTACATGACTACTGAGTGTCACGTGTCACAGTTAAAGGCTGGGGCTTTCAAATTTTTTTTTTATGATCTGTTATAACATTCTCAAATTTCTTCTTTGGCACCTCTGTTCTAGTGGTAGCCTATGTATGTAATACTTTACTGCTTAAGCACTAAAACTTTTGTTCTTTTAACCACATATTGCTCTTCAGTCTACATGGATAATTCTCTTAATCACAAAAGAAATTTCAGCGAGCATCAGAAGTAGCCAGTACCCTTTTAATTAGAGTTTATTTAAATTAAAGCATACAATTTTCATTGCCAAAGTTTCATTTCTTCACCATGTAGTACCTATTTCATATTTATGGGTTTGTAAAATCATCACCTACTGAATAATAATCAATATGCAAATTATAATTTGCCAGTAATGTACTCTGCATGTTTGTTATGTCATGTGTCATGATTGTGTTGTTAATGTGTGTCATACCATTTCATCTCATTCAACCAGGGTCTACCAGGGCGAAATGGCTATCCGGTAACTCATCATATATTTATGATAGTGTATATTACTTTAAAACTATATTGTTGTATTTTGATTTTCCTTTATTATTGTCAAAAATACTTTTTTTTTCCCTGTTTCTCCAATGTCTAGAAAATGTAGGACTTTTTTTAAAAACAAAATAAAACAAGCCTTTGAGAAGTTTTTGAAAAGAACCTGAGTATTTACAATGCATAAATGTAGTGCACTGATTGTTCGACATTGTACATATTTTGTGTTGTTTCTGCATTTTTGCCTAAAAAAATCAATTTTTTACTCTAATTTAAAAAAATTTTTAGCAAGATGATGCATTTCAATTTTCCATATTAGAAGGCTGTACAGTTGCCATATAGAACCTCTAAGTCCTTTCTTTTAATTCTGTCCTGTTTCTCTTGACTGCTTCATTTGATGCATTTTGAACAAAGTAAAATGCTATTACAGAGGTCCTAGCAGTTGGCTGCATTGTCTGTCACAGAGTAATTTTCTGATAATGGATGTGACTTATTTTTCTGTCAGTTTCATTCATATGTCTAGGATTTATTGCCTGAAAAAAAATATATGAAATAATGCATCATTCTAAAATCTATTAATAATATATTTCTTTCAAGTAGTCAGGAAAGCTGACTGCAGTGTACCACTGAAGCAAAGAAGTGTATGCCTACTGTCATGTGTGTATTAGAAACAAAGTGGATGCATTTCAGAGCGAATAGATACGTACAGCATGGTGACTATTAAAGTATGATAATGATCTTGCTTAAAGCACTCGATAATATAGCTTTGAGGGCCCTCCCATACAGATTTGCTTATGTATTTCAGACAAAAGATGCCTAATTTTTCAGTAAGTTTTAAAAATATTTCTGTTGGTAAATATAAATTACATACCTTGAACACCTTCAGGTAGAGGACAGTTTCACAGAATCATAGAATCTCAGAATGGTTTGGGTTGGTAAAGACCTTTATAGATCATCTAGTCCAACCCCTTGCCATGGGCAGGAACATCTTTCCCTAGACCAGGTTGTTCAAAGCCCCATCCAACCTGGCCTTGAACACCTCCAGGAATGGGGCATCCACAACATCTCTGGGCAACCTGTTCCAGTGTCTTACCACCCTCATCGTAAAAGTTTCTTCCTTATGTCTGATCTAAACCTATCTTCTTTTAGGTTAAAATCATTGCCCCTTGTCCTGTGACTACAGGCCTTGGTAAAAAAAAAATAAATAATCTCCACCTTTCTTATAAGCCCCCTTTTTATATTGAAAGGCCTCAATAAGGTCTCCCCAGAGCCTTCTCTTCTCAAGGCTGAACAACCCCAACTCTCCCAGACTGTCTCCATAGCAGAAATGCTCCAGCCCCTGATCATTTTTGTGGCCCTTCTCAGGACATGCTCTAACAGGTCCATGTCCTTGTTATACTGAGGCCCCAGAGCTGGACATAGTACTCCAGGTGGGGTCTCAGGAGAGCAGAGTAGAGGGAATCACCTCTCTTGACCTGCTGGTAACGCTTCTTTTTATGCGGCCCGTTCCAATGCTGTTCTGTGGGCATCTTCTGAGTTGCAGAGTTTTCTGAGAAATGTTAGCAATGAATCATCCGATGTCTGTCTTTACTGTTACAAGTAGTTGAAAGTCAGCTGGTGAGGAATCCATCATCAGTATCAAGAAACGCGCTTGGATACACTGAAATCATTATCAGCTTTCAGAGTGCACATTCCAGTTTCACTTGGAGTGCTTAATCTGTGTAGGTGAGTGCGCAAGTGTGTGGAGGAGAAGATGGAGTGAAAAGCTTGGTAAAAAACCTTTTTTGGTCAGCATCCATCTGTGACCTCTGTATACAAAGATTTGGATTTAAAAGTAAACCCACAGTGACAACAAACCAGCCCTTACACTCTTAGGTCATGACTTCTGTGTAGATTACATATCTTTGGTGTTCCTCATTCCAGTTAATGAGCTTAACACACAAGGTAAAGTTTATGTTGTGCAAAACACAAAAGCTTCATACATTTAACTTCTTGGCCTAAACTGTAAGTTGAGAAAATGAGCGAATGTATTAGTGATGGGCTCACCCATATTTTGAAGTCTTCATGGGGACAGTTTGAAAATACAGTTTTCTTTAGAGCCTGAAGGCCCAGTCCTTTGTCCTGGTCCAGAAGCTTTCTTGAAAAGATTTGTCATGGGATCTGAAGACAATAAAGGTTCTGGGAAGCCATGTTATTGAAATTGCTGCGTCTAATAATGGCATTGTTATGGGCAAACTTTAGTCTGAATGCATTTCTATGCAGGCACAGGCAAATATGTGCCTTCAGTAGTGCTTAGCACTGGTTGAGCACTTCTTCCTGCTTGAAAATGACTGGGAATAGAATTTGGCTTTGGTTCTTCAAAGTCACTGCTTGGCTGGCTGTTTCGATCTTTTCAGTTACAGCCATATCCTCTTGATTTGAATGGGAAATATGTAACAGCAAGTGCGTTACACTTTAAAAGTACTTATGCAGTCCTGTAGAACTTTATGAAAAGGCTATTAGTGTTTAAAGTTATTTCTCTAGAGTCCTATTTAACTCCTGTAGAAACATTATTGCTTTAATTTTTAGTGTCTTTTATAGGATATTCTGTGAAGATAGTGAGGTTTATCTGCCACATATAACGTAAAAAGCTCTCTGCTCAATAGGCCAAATCAAAACATTGCAATCTTACAAAAGCTAGTGGCTGTTTTCTCCAAGACTTAAGTTTTTGTTGTCTGTGTTCATTCTAATTTTAAAGGTGCCCTAGGAAATAATAATACCAGTAAAAATTCCCAGGAAGATACGGTATCAAAAGTCAAGAAAATAAGCTGGACTTACTGCTCATGAGTACTGCAGTTATTAAAGTTTTATAAGGCCATGATTAATTGGTTATTATGTAAGGCACCATGAATACTATAAAAAGTATACACTGGTACAGCTCCTTTTTTTCCTCACAGACAGTGACCAAATTCAGAGTTGTAACTCTTTCAGCTTAAGTTTAAAATTGAAATAGGCTATCGCATCTTCCTAAATAAACATTAGAGAATGAGAACACAAGCATTTGTTACAGGGGTTTTCTTATGACAATGTCACTTCAGAAATAATACTAGAACTTGGAAAATATAAAACCCAACAGAAAAACAACCACAAAAAACTTCAGCACCTTGTGAATGCAGTGAAAAGGCCACCTACACAAGCCATATAGTGCTCTGCAGGGGAAAAATAATCTTATAAGCTGGTTGAATGGGTAGAAGTTATTTACTGTTTTTCCCACCTCTTTTCTAAGTTGGGATACAGATCAAGCTCAGTATCCAAGAAAATCATCCTGGAAGTTGTTACATATATGATCGTGAAGTTGCACTATCTTCAGAATAAAGTGTCAGAACATGAAGAAGCCCATATAGCATTACTCTTAGAGGATGGGGGAAATTTCTCCTACATATTTCCATGATGTCAGTCTGCAGAGCACCTGATGCATTTGCAAGACTTTTAGGAGCTGTGGAGGGTTACGGCCGCTCCAGGTGACCATGTGCCTTGTTAAATCCCATTTCTCCTAACATCCTTGTTTCATCAAGAAATGTAGACAGATTCCTCTCTTGCAGAAAAGGATGTGTCTAACTTGGAGATTGTTCTCCTGTAAGTGCAAAATATCATCCCTTGCTCCAACCTGAAATGTAGGTCTTTGAAATTTCGCCTGTCATTTAATTTAAAATTTTCCTAGCTCTCAAAAGACTTATTTACCTCTGAAGGGTGAAGATAAACTGGCAAAGTTTAGGATTACAGATAGAGGATTTCAATTATTCTTTAGCCTGTTATAATTCCTTCTGTCTTAGAAAATATCTTTATCACACATGGTTTTTGCACACATAAAAATGGTCCCAATATATCGTAAGACAAGTTGTTACCCCAATTTGTAAAGAATCTCAGGTTTCTGTTAGAAGGCTCTGATTCCCCCTCACCTCTCTTTCTGTTCCTGTATTACTAAAGGCAAAGAGAATTCCATGTAGAACAGAGAAGGGCTGTGAGGGGTTTGAGTTTGAAGAAATAGGCCTGCTGTGGAAGAATATGAAAACTATTGTTGTGAGAAACAAGAAGGCGGCATTTTATTGAATCATAGAATCATTTAGGTTGGAAACAACCTGTAAGATTATAGAGTCTAACCATAACTGTCATCTCTATCAGATCATATATTCTCTTCCTGCAGTCTTCTGCTTCCTTTCTTTCCAAATTGATCCTATGGACACCAGCCTCTAATATGTGACCATGGCATATGTCTAAAGCAGGTCCAGCCAGTGACCTGAATTAAGCAGCTGTTTTGAAACATAACGGTGTATAATCACATATTCACAGTGTCATGATGCTTACATATACAGTGCAAATCGAGGCTGCAAAGACAATTTTAGTTCTGGTGTTACCTAACTTGTAAGAGCTCGACTCCACCACATAAATGGTGTTCTTACAAGGCCTTGTTGTTAGTTTGCTTGGGGGTTTTCTTCTTGTTGGGGGAAAGAGAAGGAGTGAAATGGATGTGCAGCATAACATAAGCCCGAGAAGGCAGAAATGCCATTTTATGGTGCTGTAGAGATCCATTATTGTCATGCTGTTTTGTTTTGTCTTTGGAGGTGCTTCATATTTCATCTTCTGCTGGGTCTCCAGTTAGAGACTGGGTCTGTATAGGCAAATGTGTAGTAAGTAGCAGTGTTTGTGTATGTATGTAAAATTAATCCCATTCAAATGTAAGTTTTTCAATCTCAGATATTATGGCAGCTCATTTACTGTAAAATGAACATAACTGGAATAATCAAAAGAGAATAAATGAGAAAAGATTTAGAATTTTTCATCTGTGACTAAGCACAGCCTATGGCAATACTGAGCATTACTGCAACAGCTGTGGTATTTCCAGTAGCTGGTCAGATCTTCCCTTTTTCACAGTTGTAGTCAAATATAAATGTCTAAGCTCAAGGAGTGGCTGTGTCAGTTCCTGACCTTACCCTGAGGATTTGGCTT